TGTATCTTAACCAAGTTAACTCTAAACAAGTATTTGCCATAGCTCGATACTCGGCTTCTGCTGATGATCTGGACACATTGGTTTGTTTTTTTGACTTCCAAGAAATAATTGAATTTCCAAGGAAAATGCAGAACCCAGAAATAGACCGTTTGGAAGTTCGACAACCACCCCAGTCTGAATTGCAATATGCTTGTAATCTCAAGTTATTTTCAGATGGTAGTAGAAGTCCTTGACCAGGAGTACCTTTGATGTATCTTAGAACTCGAAGAGCTGCCTCCCAATGTGGTTTTTTTGGTTCATGCATAAATTGACTAAGCATACGAACTGAATACACTATGTCAGGCCTAGTAACGGTTAAATATATTAATCTGCCAACCAACCGTCATACGAACTGAATACACTATGTCAGGCCTAGTAACGGTTAAATATATTAATCTGCCAACCAACCGTCTGTATTTACTTGGATCATTCAACTTTTCTCCTTGTGGTTAAATATATTAATCTGCCAACCAACCGTCTGTATTTACTTGGATCATTCAACTTTTCTCCTTGTGGTGAAGAAAGTTTCAGATTTTGCTCCATAGGAAATTTTTCTGGACGTGCTCCTATAAGACCTGTGTCTTGAAGAATGTCTAGAGCATACTTCCTTTGAGACATAAAGATTCCTTTTTCAGACCTAGAAAATTCAATAACTAGGAAATATTTCAAATTTCCTAAATCTTTGATAAGAAATTTCTCGAGTAAACTAGTCTTGAGATGTTGAATTTCTTTGAGATCATTGCCTGTCAACAGAATATCATCAACATAGATAAGAGTTGCAGTGAAAGAAGTACCTTTACTCTTAGTAAATAAAGAGTAATCTGCTTTGGACTGAGTGTAGCCCGCATTTTGTATAGTGGTAGAGAATATGGAGAACCAATTGTGCGAAGCCTGTTTTAAACCATAAAGAGATTTATGGAGCCGACGTATTGTATTCTCCCCCTGTCAACGAATACTTGGTGGTAAAGACATATAGACTTCCTAATCTAGATTACCATGGAGAAATGCATTTTGAACATCCAACTGATGAGTGAACCATTTTCAAGCAGCGGCAATAGTGAGTAAGCAACGAAGTGTAGTAAGTTTCGCTGTAGGAGAAAATGTCTCTTTGTAATCAACACCTTCAACCTGAGTGTATCCCTTTGCTACCAGTCAAGCTTCATAACGTTCAACAGAACCATCAGAGTTGTGTTTAATCTTGTACACCCAACGACAGCCAATAGGTTTATGGCCAGGTGGTAGAGGAATGAGAGACCAAGTATGATTACGTTCCAAAGCTGCAATTTCATCATTCATAGCCTGCTGCCATAATGGATTGCCAACTGCCTCATCATATGTTTTAGGTTCTGTCTGGGCTATAATAAGAGCTAGAAAAGCACGTTGAGTACAAGAAAAATGAGAGAATGAAAGGTAATGATGAAGGGGATACCTGGTGCCAGTGTTGGGACTTGAGCTAGAGGTTAAATGATTGGCTCCAAAAGACATCTCATAATCATTATAATAAGCTGGAGGTTGTTTGGTACGAGTAGAACGTCGGAGTGGAACTGATGTATCAGGTGGGATAAGATTAGATTTAGTGGGTGAATCTGGTGAATCTGGAACTGATGAATTTGGAGAAGGAATAGTAGGCGGAGGAGATGACGAAGGGATAGAAGGATCAGAATGGATGTTTGAGTAGGGTGATCATGAAATGGTAAAATGGGAGTTGAAGGAGCTAATGTCAAAGTTTCTGAAGCTGATGAAAAAGAAAAATCATCTTCACAAAATTTAACGTCACGACTAATAAAGAATTTTTTAGATTGCATGTCATACAACTTGTAACCTTTGTGACCACAAGGATATCCTATGAAAACACAAGGAATTGCTCGAGGTTCAAATTTTTGCTTAGGATGTACTACAGTTGCATAACACTTACCACCAAAAACTTTAAGATGGTGAAATGTAGGTGGTCGTTTGTAGAGTGCTTCAAAGGGTGTCTTGTTAGATAACAATGGTGATGGTGTTCTATTTATAAGATAAACAGCCGTTAAAATGCATTCTCCCCAAAAATTAAGTGGAACTTATGACTGAAAAAGAAGAGACCTAGCTACATTTAGGATATGACGATGCTTACGTTCTACGACTCCATTTTGTTGTGGAGTATAGACATAAGTGCGCTGAAATTTAATGCCACAAGAAGTAAAAAATGGGAAGATAGGAACTCAGTCCCATTGTCTGATCTAACTATCTTGATAGTAGTATGAAATTGAGTTTGAACGAATTTAACAAAGTTTACTAACAAATGGTGTACTTCTGATTTGTGTTGCATAAGAAAAATCCAAGTACATCGAGTAAAATTATCAACAACAGTGAGAAAAAACGCAAACCAGAATGGGTTGGAATTTTATGTGGTCCCCAAACATCATAATGTATCAAATTAAAGGTTGTTATTGAACTTTTTGGGAAAGACAACCTAGTTTATTTTGCTAATGGGAAAATACTACAATTATGAGAAAGAGTAACATTATTAAGATGCAATTGATCAGCTAGAAATTTAAAACGAGGAGGAGAAGGATGACCTAGGCGTAAATGCCACAAATCAGATGACTGAGATACTTGATTTGCTGAAGACTTGATTGGAGATGAAGAAATATGATAGAGACCTCCGAATTGTTTACCCGAGCCAATCATCTTCCCCGTAGCCAAGTCCTGCATAACATAAAAATCAGGATAAAAGGTCACATAACATTTCAAGTCATTGGTAAGTTTGCTGATGGACATTAGGTTTAAGTTGAATGAAGGCACACATAAAACATTGTTTAATTTAAGGTTAGGATTAAAAGAAACATTGCCGGTATGTGACACGTGTGTTGTCTCTCCATTAGGCAAATTTATTGTAGATATGGTGGTAGCCTTTGGTTCAGTCATAACAGAAGCTTTGGATACTATATGATCTGTAGCTCCACTATCGAGAATCCATGGATTATAACTCGTAGAGTTAATAGATAATGCAGATACTGGAAACAAACCTGCAACATTGATTTTATTATCAGAATTACCAAAAGGACGACGATTGAGTGCAAATAAGGCTTGTACAATCTGTTGTAATTGCCCAAAAGAAAAATTTGGGATGGAATTAGGTGACTGTTCTTCTATATTCAACTGAGAAACATCGGCCATATTTGTAGATGATCGATATCCTCGATTGTTGTGTTGATTGATTTGTACTGCCCTTCTAGAATTATTTTTCTGTTGACATCGATATTTTGTATGTCCCTTTCTATCACAAAATTTACAGTGAAACTTAAGGAATCGACACTCATCAATTGTATGACCACTTTTATTGCAGTGTTCACATGATTTATCCTTCGCGAGTTTTGAATATGTTGTTTTCTTCTGCACTGCTGATGCAATCGAGAAATTCTCAGTAGGTTCAGAAGTTACCTGACGCTGCATCTCTTCTTGTACAAGTAATGAATAGGCTTGCCTCACATTAGGTAATGGAGTCATCATCAATATGTTAGATCTCACCGTTTTATAAGATTCATTGAGTCCCATAAGTAGTTGCATCAACTTGTCTTCTTCGCGTTGATCAATATGTATTTGATGTTGAATATAGGTAAATCGTGTGCGGTATGCTTCCAATTCATCCCAGAGTGCTTTGAGCTTGGTGAAATATATTGACAATGTCATGGTTCCCTGTGACATCATTCCTATAGACCTTTGTATCTGAAAAATTGTTGGACCATTCTTTTGTGAGAATTGATCGTGAAGATCAACCCACACTTGATGAGCTGTCTTGGCGTGAATAATACTCTCAGCGATATCTACTTCAACTGAATGAGTTAACCAAGATATTATCATACTGTTGCACTGATTTCATAGTTCAAATTCGATTGAATTTGCATCTTGAGACGGTTCTTCAATTGTGCCATCAATGAAACCAATTGTTTTTTGGCAATGAGAGCATGCATAACTGATTTACTCCAGGATTGATAATTTGTTCCATTTAATTTGATTGGAACAAGTGAATATCCTGGCTGATCAGAGTGGTGAATATAATAAGGATGTGTTGAATCAACATCCAAATTTTTGAAGCTGGATCTAGCTGATTCCGCCATAGAGAAAATTTTGATATTTAAGAATACCAAGATCGGTGCTCTGATACCATGTTAAGAATGAGATAGAAAATATAACTGGGAAGGTATGTATTATCATTGATATTGATATCCTTTAAATAGGATACAACGAGTACAAATGAGGAAAATATAAAATAATTAAATACTGAGAATAAAATAAAATATACGGTAAATCAAATCATAAATACAGAATATTAAGATATAATATCTAAGATATATTCTATAAATAATATATACTCTAGATATTATATCTCAATAAGATAGCTTCTCGAGATAGCTTGACCATCTTGGTTGTGCAGACACATCCCTCGAGACAGTTTGGCTAAGTGGTTTAAGGTGCAAAATTTAGGCTTTGGTTTGAAGGGGTGTGGTCCCACAACTGTCATTTATTTTCATTTTTTGTAAACCTTCAAGCCCGCTGCTAGCACATATTCTAAAAACCTCATGATTTAAAACGCGTCTACTATAGAGAGAGTCTAGCCCTACTCTGACCAGTGCATCGTGTAACGGTCATACTTCTTCAAATGTGCAGCTTCGTGATCTTGACACGCTCGCCAAAAACCGTATGGGGTACACAATCTCCATTCACATTTTTCACCTCGGCTTTGTGGCTTTGTTATACCATAGGCAAGGTTTACCTTCAGCATTCAAACATCACTTATGTGGAATCAAAACTTGTTTGACCACACATGTCGCCTATGCGTGCATATTCTATCATGTGAGACACAACAATGTTGCATCTCATCGTTATCTCGGTTCCCAACAACACGATCCATGTATCGTGATGCAATCTCATGTCTTGAGATACTCGATCATCTTGGTTTTTCTGGACACGTTTGTTGAGACAGTTTGGCCGAGTGGTTTAAGGTGCTAGATTTAGGCTCTTGTCCAAAAGGGTGTGGGTTCAAATCCCACAGATGTCATGATCATAATTTTTCAAATGTGCGACCTCGTGATCTTGACATGCTCATGATAAACCTAAAGGAGGAGTACTTAATCCCCATTCACATTTTTCACCGCTTTGTTGTGTACCTTAGGTAGGGTTTGCCTTCGGGTTTGAAAAATAAATAATGTTGAACTAAAAATTGTTTGACCACACACCATCATTGCATCTCATCGTCCTCCGACCCATGCATTGTATTGCAATCTCATGTCTAGAGATAGCTTGACTATCTTGGTTTGTAAAGGCACATTTGTCTTAGTCGAGTGGTTTAAGATGCCAGATTTGGGCTCTAGTTTTAAAGGGCATGAGTTTAAATCCCATAGCTATCATTTATTTTCATTTTTTGTAAAGCCTCAAGCCCTACTTGTTTTGACTTTTTATGTATCACTATTAACCTCGTGGTTTTAAAACTCGTCTATTATGAAGAGATTCTAACCCAACTCTGACCAGTGTCTCGTGATCTTGTCACGCTCACGACAAATCTAAAGGAGTACTCAATCTCCATTCACATTTTTCACTCGACTTTATGGCTTTGTTATACCTTAGGCAGAGTTTTTCTTCAGCATTCAAACATCCATAATGTGGAATTATAACTTGTTTGACCACACACGCTTTCTATGCGTGCATGTTCAATCATGTCAACATTGTTGCATCTCATCGTCATGTCGGTTCCCACCAGCACAACCCATGCATGGTATTGCAATCTCATGTCTCAAGATAGCTCGATCATCTTGATTTGTCCAAACACATTTGTCAGGACAATTTGGCCGAGTTGTCAAAGGTGCTAGATTTCGAGTCTGGTAAAAAAGGGCATGGATTCAAATTCCACAGTTGTCATTTATTTTCATATTTTGTAAAGCCTCATGCCGCTGCTAACACATATTGTTTGTTTTGACTTTTTATTTATCGTTGTTAACATCATGGTTTTTAAAACGCGTCTACTATGGAGAGAGTCTAGCCTAACTCCGACCAGTGCATCGTGTTAAAGTCATACTTTTTCAAATGTGCGGCTTCGTGATATTGACACGATCATTACAAACCTTAAGGAGTACTTAATTCCCTTTCATATTTTTCATCTGGCTTTGTGGCTTTGTTGGACCTTAGGCAGGGTTTGCCTACGGGTTTCAAACATGAATAATGTAGAATTACAACTTGTTTGACCGCACACACCGCCTATGCGTGCATGTTCAATCATTTGCGACACAACAACGTTGCATCTCATGGTCATCTCGGTTCCTAACAACACGACCCATGCATCGTGATGCAATCTCATGTTTAGAGATAGCTCGACGATCTTAGTTAGTCCAAACACAATTGTTGGGATAGTTTGACTTAGTGGTCCAAGGTGTTAGATTTAGGCTTTGGTTTAAAAGGGATTGGTTTCTAATCCCACAACATCTTTTTTAAAACCTCAAGTTCGCTACTAGCACATATTGTCTGTTTTGACATTTTATGTATTGTTAACCATCTACCATGGGGAGTCTAATCTTGACACACTCACGAAAAACCTTAAGGAGTACTCAATCCCCATTCATATTTTTCACCCGGCTTTGTGGCTTTGTTGGACCTTAGGCAGGATTTTCGTTCGACATTCAAACATCACTTATGTGGAATTCAAACTTGTTTGACCACACATGCCGCCTATGCGTGCATGTTCAATCATGTGCGACACAACACGTTGCATCTCATTGAAGATGAGAGCCCCCGAATCAGGAAAGACTCACAGTCTGCTCAAATCATCGAACATCATAACGGAAAGCCCAGAAGTAATATTGAATGAGAGTCAAATTTCCTTTCCAAAGGTAAAGGAATTCTTAAGCTCGAGATCCAATACCTCATGAATCTCTAATACCTCCATAAATCATCAACATGACAAGATCTATGCAAGTAGAGTCTCTTGATTACAACAAAAAAGTAGTTTTAGTCCATTATGAAGACAGTCCTAAATCTCAAACTCAAACTGAAGAGGATACATCTATCTTCAACCAGATCAATGTTATCACAAATGAAATTTTTGCTGATAAAGAATTCCTGCAAAGGGATTTCGCATTAAAAAAGAATACTCTAGAGAGGAATGCATTCTTTGAAGAATTTTTTAAAGAAGAAAGAAATGAGATAAGAAGTCATATGGATGGAATCGTGCGCCCATATGATAACTCAATAAAGATGAAAACTTCCCTTTGAAGAATCATCCACTCTACTCATCCTCCTCTTGAGGAATGTGAGTTTGATAGTCAATACGGAGAAAATGTCAAAGCCTCTCCGTTCAGAAGTGCTCAAGGGGTGACAAAAGCTTTCCATCCTTAAAGGATATCTAAAATATCCAACATTAAAATAACTTCTCAAACAACAGTCTCTCAACCATTGCATGACAAGTTATGAAGATTAAAGAAAAAATTTAGAAAAATCCGCACCATAGAGTGAAAAACTATTACAAATATTACTAGCATGAAAGCCTCAAATATTACTATAGGCTCCGAGGTAAATTTGATCATGCTATTGCTCAAATTATAACTTTTGGTTTCACAGGAGTATTCAAAGACGAGTGGGAGATGCATATCTCTCGACAAAGAAAAGCAAAGGACACCCAATCATACTACTAGAAAAAAAAAAGTAGTACAAATATCAAAAGTAAAGTTAGAATGTCTCAAGTCATGGAGAAGATATAAGGGTTGAAGAGTCGTTAATACCTTTTTACATACTATCTCAAAGTTCGCCATAAGTGAACTAAAAATCTATGATGAAAGCTAGAGATCAAAATAATTAATATCAGTAGAATCGTGGTGGACCCATAACTCACAGGTCTCACGATTGAAACCTAGCTTTGATATCATCATACTACATGTGAAATAACATAGTCAACACATCACTCACCTATCTTTTTTGGTTTGATTGTCCTTCTTTCAGTGTCCCTCCACGAGGCGTCTCCATCATCAAACTGAAGTTAAATCATGCTTCATGATAACGAATTACTTTGTTGATTGAATATCTTAAAGAAACAAATACTTGTTTGAGATTTGAATCACTCCGCAGGCAAGATCGATCATGTCAAGCTTAAATGATACTAAACATACAACCTAAACTACATAGCATTACAAAAAAAACTTAATACTCAGTTTAAAGAAGGCATAAATGATTTTTTTACTACTTTTTCAAGTCTACAAGACAACATAAGTGGCTATATATAGCCTCAACATCAAACCCTTAACCTTCTACTAGGAATTTCATACTTTTAGGACTATAATTAACCACTATGAAAATGAGGAATTTGAGGAGTTGTAACATTCGTACTCTTAGGACTATAATTAACCACTATGAAAATGTAACCATCTAATTTTTTTTTACTAAAATAGAGTCGTACCATATGCATGATGTGATCTTTTTATGTGGAAATATTCAGTTTAAACGTTTCATCAGCCCCATGGACTTACATAATAAAAATAAAATCCGTAAATAAATCGAAAACATATAAGAAATGATAATAAACATATATATCCGAAAACTAGAAAACAAATGATGATGGAGTTGACACACGAGTCGTGTGAGTTGTGACTGAGGTGGGAAGCGTGTGCTCTACACATGAGAAGACCATGACTAGTTTGTCAGGTCACACATGCATTTCTCGGAGAGTGTCCTTTTCAGGTCGTGGGCTGCTGGGGAGTATTTAGTGCTTGTTGGGCCACCCGTATTGAACCTGGATCCAAAAGTCTATCGGTTTTGTCTCTCTGACCTATTTTCTACTTCTACTAGATCTTCGGCGCTCACTGAAAATGCATTAAGGAAATAAAAAGTCATAAAATGCATTTATGTCTATCGGGAGATTTCTGATGCGAGGGTGGTTGCTTCCACGAGATCTCTAACTCTTTTTTTTTTCCTTGTTGTTACCGTAAATGTAACCTAAATGTGAATAAATATTCATAAAATACATTAGTGAGATCCACAAAAAAAATTTGTAACTAGGATAAATAAAACTCATCTTCCTTAAGCTTATATTTCCTTAAGCTTATATTGCATGATTGAGATGTCTTGATTCGTATCATTCTCCACTTCTTCAAGAGGCTTCATCATCAAATCTATTTGTAAAACTTTGAAGCAAAATTAGGTTAAGAAAATACAAAAGACCTCACAACACTTTATCACGTGAACACTCAACACTTTATTCACTTATATACTCAAGGAATTGTTGGCCACTGTTTGCACTTATTTACACAAATGGAGCTCTCTGTAAGGACATGGCTAATGCGATGGCTCTAAAAGGTGGGTAAATTTTTTTGCAAAATAAAATCATTAAAATTTAAAACATAATTTACATTATACCAAAATAGTGTGCGCACATTAATAATTTAAAATACAACATAATAGTTAAAAGACAGAATAAGGAACAGACGCAAAACATTTTAAAATAAAAGTGTTGAGACGACGGGTGAGGTTAGTCTATGGCACCTGCTCCAGAGTCCGCTCCCGACCTTGACCAGCTCCTTATTACCTGGAAAAAAAATGGAGAATGAGGAATGAGTACAAGATTCAGTAAGTAGTCATTTCCTTAATATGCTAGGGTACCACATTCTTTATTCTTGCTTGTTCTTGATCTTGTTCTTGTTGTAAGTACTTAAGCCCCTTTAATTCTTGTTCTTGACTTGGGTTCTTATCTTGATCTTTCTAGAGGACCTTGGTTCTGAAACCCTAAAACCTTGGTTTTCCTTTAAGGGCCTTAGTACTATGGTTTTTGGTTCTTGGTCCTTTGTTCCTGGTTCTTGTCCTTAGAACTAGGATCTTGATCCATGTTCTAGTCCTTGATCTTTCTCTTGTTCTTGGTACTTTCTTGGTTCTTGTTCTATTATTGATTCGTTCTCCAAGACACTCCCCCTAGGATTTATGGCACTAGACATGTACCTGACAATCCTATGTCCAAGGCTTCATGCGTTCCAAGCGACGTAGTCTTACCGCATCTTAGGGCTTTCCCTTCGAAATGGTCTGCTT